TTTCTGTAGAAGGGTCCAGACCCGAAATGTCAGCTTTCCTGCTCCTCTGATACAGCTTGGCCTGCTGTGTTCATCCAGCTCTACACCTTCTTATCTCAGATCTCCAGCATTGACAGTTCTCACTATCTCTGAATGTGACCAGGTAGTCTGCTTATCAATACATGTTGGCCAAGAATCTGAGAGCGGTATATTGTGAATTGTGCCAAAGAATATTTTATGTCCATCTCCAAGGCAGTCAGAGCCGAGTTAATAAGCAATGCTATATGGGAGAGTCAGCTAAAGTTACACACTTAAGTTTCTGGAGCGGAATTTGAACCCGCAATTTTCTGACCCAGGGGCAATGGCAGTGCTACCAAATCAATTTATAATTGGCTATCTCCAATTTGCAATGAGTATTAAGGGAGTCGCCCTTTGCTCTTGTAGAATGGTCCTTGTAAGATTTCAGAACTCTTGCCCTATAAATTTATTTAAATCTCTATTGATCTAGCTTTTTTGATAGTTCCTACTTTTGATTAAGAAATGTCCAAAACACATTGAACACTCAGACTTACAGCTGCCAAACTTCAAGGGACACGCATGCCCATCCATTGGGAAGTTCACAAGTCTCATAGGACATGCTGCATTTATGGTGAGTCTGGAAATGGAGGAGAAAATATGTTAAATATTATCAAGCTATCAAATAGAATAATGTAAACTATGACCAAACTACTATGACCAACCTCATGGTGTAAAGAATAGTGCCATTTTGCATGATTCTGAAAAGCTTGTTGGGAGTCGTCATATTGTGAGCGATGGACATTTTTCCATTTCTGAAGAAAGTGTCTGGAGTCCAAATTTTGTTAACCATTAAGTTATTCAATCTAAGTATTTCAATGGGTCCATCGAATTTTAGCCTCTTATCAATCCAAGTTTGACGGAAAAAGACATCCATGGTATATTCCTGTAAAAGTATAATAAAACCACTTTAAAAGATTACATTGCATCACTTTTACTACAAGTCACGGTTTGTCAATGTATAACCAAGAATTACTAATGATTTGACCCACACAAAGCACTAGAAGTTCAATGATTTCCTCAGTGTCAATATTCATATTTTTTTAAAAAGCCTCAATTTCTGGCATGATTATTGACTTGCTTGGCTTCTTAAAAAGACAAACGCTTCTTTCTCCAAGAGATTACAATACTGTGTAGCGTAGATTGTTGCCAAAAAAATGAACCGATCTCTGAAGTCAATGGCGGCAGGCATTGTCAAACAGATTGAGGCGAATAATCTTTTTAATGACATTTTACTCGGATACCAAAATATAAAACCAGTACAGTACGAACGTAACTGCAGGTACTGAAATGGGAAGCTGATGTTGATAAACAAGTATAGTATGAGTATTTCTGTTTGAGAACAATAACACAAAGATTGGTGAATCACTTTAATTATCAGTATCATACCATATCCACGTCAGATACAGGACCGAAACTTGTCACGTATATGTCAGTTTTCACTTCAGTGACCGGACCTGGAAAGGATCAAACAAGGTATGAAAGATCATCTTGGCTAGGGCTTGGCATATGTGAAGAATATAGAATACAATGCCTTAAAAGCCCTCAAAGTTTGAACGACAACGTTTGTGGACGACACTGAGTTCCACCATTATCTTGCTTCTTGCAAAAGTGTTGCTATGGACCGTCCTACTGTACCTTGTAAACATTTACGATTTGTTCAGACCTAAAATCATATCGATTAAGATATACGTCATATAAGGGGTGAAAATAGATTTGAATCTGTTGCAAACCAAAAGGATACGTGCAAAAAAGATATAATTACTCACCTCCAAAACCGGGTCGTAGCCTGTTATCATATCCATCGAGAAGTCTATCGAGAATACGTGTAATGTTTTCCGAATGGACTCTTACTTCTTTGTCTTGATTAGAAGAGCTGTTTATGAGTGTATCTCCTATACTGTAAATACAAATCAACATTAAGGTCAAGGGCACCTTTGGTAATCAAAGAAGAAAGTGTCTGCCTTTGTTTTCGCTTTGCTATCAATTTACTTAAATGCGACAGGGCGATAAAAGGCTACATCATCATAAAATACGTGGAGAGAACAAAAGGATTCAACTCAGTAGAAATGTAAATAAGATAGACTCACCACCACAGTGCTGTGTAACAGACAAAAATCAGTAAACCCACGCGGCTGGTAGGCATCGCAACCACAGATCTCATGTCAGCAGTAACCATTTGCATGTCCCATATTCTAAGCTTCCTCACTTTTGCCGTCATTGTGCCATTTCACGAAGAATAAAAGCAACGATTAAAGAACACTTTAGTACCTCAGTGTTGAGCCCTTTGCACTTGCAGGAGGCAATTTTCACTCTCCTTTTATTTCTCGGCTGCTGTCGAGGCTCAACTGAGCGCCTCAGTTTAAAACTAAAGAGTTTAACAGCCGGTCCGGGATGGCGAACATTGACAATAATCGAATAAGGCATCATGGGAGATTAAAAGCAAGAAATCCACTGATACTTTTGGCAGGAATTAGCGAGAAGCCGTCAGGGATCCTGGCAAGGCATGGACACCCAGACGAGAGAGATTAGATTGCGAATTACCGCATTTCTTCGGATACTATATTTTAAATATCTAACAAATAGCTCATGTACTGGTAATTTATCAGTGTTTATACACTGCCAGTTTCCACGAATCAATCTGAGATTATCACACGGTTTCTCGCTCCCTCTCTACCCACCTACTCCCCAGCCCCTTCACACATACAAACAATTTTGCGATGGTTAGAAGGGTTAAGTGATAGGCATTATCTTTTTGTCAGATATAATCCAGATAATCAGAATTAGTGTGGGGAGGAACAAGAGCGATTTTGTTGACGGCTACACGGCTCAAGCCTAGCCTTATTTAGCGACCTCCAAACCTGTTGGTCAGCAGTCAAAACGTTATCAAGTCTAATTCCCTGATTTAACTCTTAAACAGATATCTCGATGAAAGAATATTCTATTAAACAAGCATTTTCAATTATTCGACCATATACCCAGTCAACAGCGCAACTGCCAAAAGGTGCAGGGGTATACTGTTATTAACCTACATCATAGTTAGAATGAAGTTATACTAAGTGGAACATCAACAACAGCCCAGACCAGTTAAACTGAATGGTCTGTTTCTCTCTTGTAAACTCCATATCATTCTATCAATCTTCATTTCACTGTCCATTAACCCCAAATGTAACACCTGCCATGGATACTTCGTGTAATAATAAATATAAAACAAATTTTAAATTTTGAATTAGTCTATATTATTTAGTACACACGGTAATTTATTTTACGATTAGCTATGGGTCGACAAATGTATTAGGTAAATTTTTCATGGAAATACTTTATGACCTATTTTCACTCCCCCCCTCGCCCCCATGGCGCCACCACTCACGAGCTGCTCAGCACTTACACATTAACCTAAAATAATCTCAACCGATCACTCAGTCGTTATCTCTTCTCACGGTTATGATTTCCTGATGTCACCTGAACCAATGCTGTTCAATTTTCAACTTCCATATATATATATACACACACACACACTTGGCACGCTACCCCAAGTGCCACTTGTATTCATACGCACTGAACATTAGAGAGAATAATGGAGTCTGACAGAAGAAAGTTCTCATTTTATTTTGAACAGAAGACATCCCTCTTAATCCACGGAATGTCCGTGTTTTGCAAACCAGCATAAATTGACACATACACTATCGTAGTAGCCTTGCAAAACAGGACAGCTAACAGCCAATGTTTTCTGCTGTGGACTCACGTGATGACATTCAGCATTGAATTCATGGTTACTATTGTGTCTATCGAAGCAATGGGAAACAGTTAAGATTTTTGTCTTTCCGTCTGTATATACTTTTATCTCCAGCACTTCCTCCCGCAAAGGAAAAGCTAACATTTTTATTATAGTGAAATGCTGACTTTCATTTCACACGAGTTTAAGTGATAAATTCATAAATCAGTTAGCTATATCTACTGCTCCAACCTTCTGGAACCATGATAAATATAAGGTTTCTTTGTACATTGCTTGCTGATGCGACTTGTCGATGCCATCAGGAGCAGCACCAGAACCAATATTAAGGACTCGCGCCTCGAATCAAACAGGGCTGAAAGTTGTGCGTCGGAAATAATTAACATTTCATTTCCATTCTTACCGTCAAGAATTCCTGTCATTGCAAGCAGATTTTTCAAGAGAAAATCATTTGGTGATATTTAATGTTATCAATATTCGTGTTTAATGCTGAAAGACAACGTGCAAGATGACAACACAAATCCGCTGTAACACTTTTGCATGGAATTGCGTGGACTTCGTATCTGGTAGGGGGGAAAATCCTCTGGAGCTGGTGGATAGGGAATTGTCACAATTATTTAATACATTCCCAAGAATACACACGGAGGCTGTAAATCGGGGAGACAGAACTCGTGTTTGGTTGTGGTGATGGGGCGCGGAGGTGGAAGGAAATCTATAAGTGTGTTTCAAATTATCTCACGCATAAAACAGCAAAGCCTCGTGAAACGGCTTATTGACTAGTAACTGGTTAAAACTTTAGCAAATGCATAATTTTATATTTTTCAATATTTTACAAACACGTACCTCTCTCCACACATACTGCAAGACGTACTGAATATTCCCAGTACTTGTCTTTATTTTTTACGTTTGCATTATTTTCTGAGTAGTTCTGTGGAACCGGAACGTTAACTCTGATTTCTCTCCACAGGTGCTGCCAGGCCTGCTGAGCTTTTCCAGCAATTTCTGTTTTTGTTTTTGCAGTAGTTTGCTCTTGTATCTTGAAAAGAGTTAGTGCGGACCCACCGTTAGGTTAACTGAAGAAGTGTACGGAGATCATCGACATTCTGTTGCAGTTTGGGAGTAATTATATCCATTGAAACTCCTCGGCAACTCCTCAGGATCTAGGACGATTTGGTTCCAATCCAGTTGAAAGATCATAAGACTGGGAGCAGAACTAGGCTATTCAGCCCACTGAGTCTACTCCCCCATTCAATGAGATCATGGCTGGTCTGACAATTCTCAACTCCACTTTTCTGCTTTTTCCCTGAAACCCTTGAGTCCCTTAGTGATTAAAATTCGTCTGTCTCAACCTTCAATATAGTTAATGACCCATCCTTGATAGCCCTCTTCAGTAAACAATTCTACAAATTCACTAGCCTCTGAGAAAATAAATTCCTCCATCTCTGTCTTAAATAGGTGACCCCTTATTCTGAGAATATGCCCTCTGATCCTGGACTCTCCCACAAGGGGAAACAATCTTTTTGCAACTACCTTGTCAAGTCTCCTAAGAATCAGTTCTGAGGAAGGGTCACCGGACCCGAAACGTTAACTCTGTTTTCTCCTCCACAGATGCTGCCAGACCTGCTGAGCTTTTCCAGCAACTTTGTTTTTGTTCCTTGTTTTTGCTCCTAAGAATCTTGTATGTTTCAATATGTTTGTTTCATTCTTACGAGTTCCAATGAGTGCAGTACCAACCTATTCAATCTGTCTTCATAAGAAGTATCTCCATACTTGGTATCAGCTAGTGACTGCCTCCAATGTCAGAATAACTTTCCGTAAATAAGGGGCCCAAAAGTGCTCATAGTATTCCAGCTGTGGTCCAATTAGTGCCTTACATACCTTTAGCAAGATCTCCATATTTTTATATGCTATTCCCTTTGAAATAAAGGCCAACATTCCATTTGCCTTTCCTATTTTTGCTGAACTTGGGTACTAGCTTTTTGTGATTTATGGATGAGGACTCCCAAACTTTGTTCTAGAGCTTTCTGCAATCTTTCTGAAACTGAATAATACTCAACTCCATTCTTCCTGCCAAAGTGCATAGCATCACATTTCCCCCACATTACATTTCATCTATTCAGGATGTGCAGACTTGGATTAGCCATGGGAAATGCAGGGCTACAGGGATAGGGTAAGAAGGTGGGTCGGTGTGGACTTGATGAGCCGAATGGCCTGCTTCTGCACCGTAGGGATTCTACGATTCTATGATCTGCAAAGTGTTTATCTAATGAAGCCAGAGATGGCCAATAAGTCCAATACATGATCTGTAGATTTCACCATGTATGGGGCAGATAGAACATAGAACATAGAACATTACAGCGCAGTACAGGCCCAGTGCATTTAGGTTTCATAGATTGGCTGTCTACAGGTTTCTGCACTCCCTCCAATACCTCTACTTTATGTCTGCACATTCATAGAAAATTCTCTCCCTGTGTTTGGTGCCTTTGTGAATGAACATTAGAGCCAGAAACTCCCATGAGTCAGTGTGGATATTTGACATTTTCATGGATGTTGGAGTTCATACAGAACAGTACAGCACAGGAACAGGCCCTTTGGCTACTGTGCCACTAACGATCCCATTCTAAACTAATTCCATCTGTCTGTACATGATCCGTATTCCTCTATTCCTGCCTGTTCATGTGTCTGTCTCTCCAAAGTGTCTCTGCTGTCCCCCTGGGGTCTCCAGCTGTAACCATGTTCTGAGTAGAGCAGTTGGTTCAGGAGTTAATGTCATGCATTTGAAATCTATGTCTGACCCAGACACCACCATTGCTGTCTCTGTATATGCCCCGTCCACTGTCAAGACAGATCCACCTGAGGTGGCAGCTCAGTCATATACAATCAGGAAGAAATTGGCCTAGGAGTTCTCTTGATCACAGAAAGTAACATGGCATTAGATTTATCATGAGTACAGAACTGCTCCGCTGATTACTATCTATGACCCCAGCCTTATCTGATGGATCTGTACACCTCCAATTTAAACACCACTTCAAGCCAGCACTCAGGATGGCAAAAATTCCAAATGTACTCTGGGTGAGGGACTTCAATGTTCATCATCAAGTGTGGCTTGGTACAATAGACCGAGTTGGCAGAGTCCTAAAGGACATAACTGTTAAACTCCGCAATTCTGCCACATCCACAATTATCCCCATCCTTGATGATGGGAGAGCCCAGCACATGACTGCAAAACACAAGGTTGAAGTATTTGCATCCATCTTCAGCTACAAGTGCCAAGTGGATGATTCATTTTGGACTCCTCCTGAGTTCTAAGCATTACCAGTGCCAGACTTCCAACAATTTGAATCGCTCCATGTTATTTATACAAACTGCTGAAGATGCTGATACAGCAAAGGCTAATAGCACTGACAACAATCCAGCAATAGTACTAAAACCATACTGTTGGCCAAGCTGTTCCAGGATAGCTACAATATTGGCATCTACCCAACCATGTTGAAAATTGCTCAGGTATGTCCAGTGCACAGAAAGAAGGTCAAATTCAACCCAACCAATTACTGCCTTATTAGTCAACTTTTGATCATCAGTAATGGAAGGGGTCATCAACAGTACTAAGAAGTAGCACTTGCAAAGTAATAATCTTCTTACTGAGTCTGGGTTTGGGTTCTACCTCACTACAGTCTTGATCCAAATATGGACAAAAGAGCTGAAGTCCAGAGGTGAGGTGAGACTCATTGCCCTTAATATCATGTGTGGTAGCATGAGCTGTAGTAAAACTGAGTTAATGACAATCAGAAGGAAACATTCTGCTGGTTGCAGTCAAACCTGGCACAACGGAAGTGGTTGTGGTTCTGGTGATCAATCATCTCAGCCCCAGGACATTACTGTAGGGGTTCTACAGGTTAGTGTCCTATGTCCAAGCATCTTCATCTGCTTTGTCAATAACCTTCTCTCTATTATAAGATCAGAAGTAGGAAATACCTGGACAATATCCAGGTATGCACTCATAAGTGGCAAATAACATTCACATCATACAAGTTCCAGGCTATGACCATCTTCAACAAGAAAGAATCTAATCATTTCTCCTCCTGCACTACCATTACTGAATCCCCTGCCTTCAACGTCCTTAGTGTAACCATTAACCAGAAGCTGAACGGGACTAGCTATGTAAATACTGTAACTAGAGGTCTAGAATTCTGTGCTGAATAACTCATCCCTGTCTCCACAGTGCCTGTCCACCAACAGTGTTCATTCTCTACTTGCCTAGATCAGTTCAATTGCAACAAAACAGAAGAAGATTGACAACATCCATGACAAAACAGTCCACTTGATTGGCACCACATCCACAACCATCAACATTGACTTCCTTCTCCACAATGCACAGTGGCAGCAGTGTATAACATCTATAAGATGCACTGCACTAAAGCTCCTCCAATAGCTGAAGTGTCACTTCCTCACTTTTTTTTAATGAGTATTTTTATTCTGTCATGGAATATAGACATCACTGGCAAAGCCAGTATTTGTTATCCATTTCTATTGCCCTTGAGCTGGATGATTCACTAGACCATTTCAGAGGGCAGTTAAAAGTCAACCACATTGATGTGAATTTTGAATTACACGTAGGCCAGATCTTTGAGGTAAAGACTACATTTCTTCATTGAGGAAGTGTCACTGGACCCAAAACGTTAACTCTGATTTTTCTTCACAGATGTTGCCAGATCTGCTGAGCTTTCCCAGCAACTACTGTTTTTGTTTGCTACATTTCTTTTGCCATTTTTGATTATTTTTGTGCTTGTGCACTAGCTTTTATTGGTCTTTCCAGCTACATAACTTAAACTTTTGCACCTTTATCTCAAGAGTAATATAGTTGCTTTGAGACACCTCAGAGTGAACTCTGCTGTATGGAGGAAAGTTGAATTCTTTTGCACTTCCTATAATTGTCAGTTTGAAATGTTTTGGAATGTACTTAGCAAATTTTATGAATATAGTGTCTTGCAGAAAAGAGACTAACTACTGAAATCACCTAGTCTTCCATTAGGAAAATATTATGACTTGTCTTTCTTAGATTCAAAGTGTATTTCTCCATATTGATTTAACCCGTTATAGTTTTGCCCATCCATGTAGAAAAGCTGAGGCCCCAAAACATTTTCTTTATGAAATGCCAGTTGCTATACTGTGACCTGAAAATGTTCCCTTTATCCTGATTTTCCGTCTACTTATGTGAATTACTAAACTGCATTATTTCCTGCAGTTTTATTTTTTGTTAGTAATCTTTTACACTTTGACATGGAAACATTTCTCAAGGCACTTCATAATAATCTTGAATAGAAGATGTAAGATTTTGAGAAAGAAGTACATTTTTGCATACAGAAATTACTGATAATGAAGTTGTAAGTATATAAATGTCCAAGCCAAAAGTTTGGATTATACTGCTTTGGAATTTAAATTTTGGAGGTTTGGGAAATAGGTGAATCTTGGTAATTTAGCTAACTCAGCATTTAAACATTTTTATAAAGTGTACCAATTTCTTAGACCACTCACTGTTTGAGCTTAACTGAGCTGTAAGAATTGTGTAATTGTTGAATAACCTACTCATTAGCTCATTTTGTTGCTCATTCATTTTGAAAGGGCCTTATTAGTTTTTCCCACAATTTATATTTTATTCAAAAGCTTATAAAATAAGATTCCAAAACATTTCAAATTTAAGATTCCAGCAAACATAATAAAATTCAACTGTTCTTCATATGCCACTGTGAGGTGCTTGATACAATTTGGATAGTTTTCACATTTCGGTATACATTTCATGCCAGGATGATACAAGGCACATTAGATCCATAAATAGTTACATTTTTTTATTTGGGTTGAATAGTTGTTCAGATCAAATGTTAGAATGTGGGAGCTGTGGAACAAAACTTCCATTAATGATTTCGAGTTTTGTGGTAACCATGGTTTCCAGCACTGTAACATGTTATGGTTCAGTTTACATAACAAGTTAGAGATTGGGTAAGCTCACCTTAGAATTCATAAAATATCTTTGTGTTTGAATTCCCCATTGATTTCTGCACCCACCGTTTCTGAATGAAGTCATAATGATCCTAATTGGGGTGGCATGGTAGCTCAGTGGTTAGCACTACAGCCTCATAATGCCAGGGATGGGTTCAATTCCAGCCTTGGGTCACTGTGTGGAATTTGCACATTCTCCCCATGTCTGTGTGGGTTTCCTCTGGGTGCTCCAGTTTCCTCCCACAGTCCAAAGATGTGCAGTTTGGGTGAATTGACCATACTAAATTGCCGGTAGTGTCCAGGGATGTGCAAACTATGTGGATTAGCTGTGGCAGATGCAGTGCCACAGGTAGAGGGTAAAGGAGTGGGTCTGGGTAGGATGCTCTTTGGAGGGTCAGTGTAGACTCAATGGGCCGAATGGCCTGCTTCCACACTGTAGGGATTCTATGACCAAACTCTTGTAACCATCACACGAAAATAGGTGCAATAATGCAACCGTCAGAAGCACTGAACAATTTGTATTTTCGTCATCTGCCACACTTAAGTGTATCTCGTCAATATGTATTGAATTATAGATTGCAATTTTTACCTAAGAAATGAATTGGGGACCAAGAATTTCCACTTTCGAAGTTACATCAACGCACTGAATTTGTTTCCATTCGTCAATTCAATTCAGACAGACAATTGTAATTTACTGGAAATTATTAGAAGGAACGGGATTCGAGTTCAAATTCTTGTGGATTGTTTTTTGTAATTGAACACTGAAGCCCAGTGTCAAAATTCACACAGCTGCTCGAGCACAGGTGCTTGCAGGGTGGCACCAAAACGTCAGAAGTCTTTGAGTGAAGAAAACCGATTGCACTGTTGAAAAAATCTGTTATCCGAGTTGTGGGGTCGGGCATTCGTGAACCTGAAGTGGCACATCTTATATGAAGAATGGCATCATATGGACGAGGTGAAAATCTCGCCAACATCACGTGTCTCGAGAGGCGCTGCACTCACGAAATCGCTGTGTGTGCCTGACAGCGGGAAAAAAAGGGGCAAGTTTAAAAGGGCGTGCGCGCGCGCGTGTGTGTGCATGGATCATTGCTCCCTGTTCCTCCCATTGTGGAGAGCCGAGGAATTCCCCCACCTCCTCCCGCTCTCACGTGATCCAGCGTCCGTTAGATTTTTGAAAAGGAACCGTTGGGCTCGAGCTGGGTGCACGCGTTCGCTGCGGTTAACAGTTCAATCCTGTGGAGGAACAGCACACACAGTCCAGCTCTGCCAGACGCGCACGACCCCCCCCCGCCATTGAGCTCGGGCATTAATGCAAAATAAATAAATATATATATTTTTTTTTTAAAGAAGCTCCAACAGCCTCCTCCTTTTCCAAAAAAATACCTATAGTAAACAGGGAGAGGCGACGAACGTATCCCTGCGTGGTCACGAATATTAATGTGGATCCAGGCGGAAGCCGGCAGGTTCGCATCTTTTTTCCACACCGTTTTTATTTCAAAGGCAGCAGTGTGCGTTATGTGGGTCTACTGCCCGAACATCTCCCAGAATTAACAAAATTCCATTAAAATAATATTTAGCCCCCAACCCGTCATCACCCCCCCCACCCCCGCCGACCTTCCTCTGTGGGAAAGACGAGTCGGCTAAGAGGATAGCGATTTCTGAACAGCACCATGCGCCAAGATTTTCGGGAGAGAAAAGCGCACGGTGGTCGTTCCTCCCTGGCATCTTCGGACGCTTTACCAATCAGCATCCAAAAGAAAGGCGAAGAAGGAAAAAAACATATGTAAAAAGAAAGAGACGGAAGAAAACAGACGGTGCTTAGAAAACAACAGACATCTTGTTTTCCCCTTCCTCTTCTTCATGCCATCTTCCCTCACTCCTCTCTCCGTTTTCTCCCTCTCCCTTTTACCCCTTCCTGCATAAATATATATTTATATATTTGCAAAGTGAAGCCGCTTCCTCTGCCTTTTGATGTTGTGTGAGGAGTGTGCGCAGGCGCCCCCCACCTTGGAATTACTGCACTGGTCAGAATAAGTTGGATCCTGTCTGTCTGTCTCTGTCTTTCTCTCTCCTGCTGCCTTCCCTTGAAAAAAAAACGAAATCATCTGAAAACTTAGGGATGCTGAGAGTTCGGAAAAGGGGCTACTTTAGCGCTTTCTCGTTCCCTTTGCTAGTGGCGATGGTCTGTGCACAAAGGTAAGCCATAGCGCCGGGCAGCTGGAGGTGTCTCTCCATCTCTCTCTCTGCACCTTTTCATTTGCAAATGCAACATTTACTTCATCCTTAGAGAGGGGGGGGGGGGAGCAACATTCTTAACTGTTTTCTCTCCCTCTCAATCTAGTGTCAATGACCCCAGTAATATGTCATTGGTAAAGGAGACGGTTGATAGACTGCTGAAGGGCTATGACATCCGTTTGAGGCCAGATTTTGGAGGTAATTTGATTTATTGTTAATGTGATTCCTTACAGCCTTAAGTGTCCCCCCCCCGCCCGTTACTGTGTCAAACGGATCTGGAAATGATTTGAAAGTTAATATAATTTTTGCCCCCCTCCCCCAAGTTGACCGAATTCCATACTTCAGAGTAACCAGTGTTTCGTCAATATCAGCTTTAATGGGTCTTTTTGTCTCGATGGCCAGGCATCAGTCAGTCCTATAAGTTGTGTTGGTAGTTGTTACAGCTCCATGCTCGTAATTAGCCGCTAGATTTTTGTAAGGAGGTTTCAAAATGATTTCAGGCGAGGGATACTCCAACGATATATTCCGCCGCAAGGCATATTTAGCTAAAATTTAGTTTTAATATATATTAACGAAAACGTTTTAGCAGTATTTTCGTTTAACTACCACTTCTGGACCATATCATTATCTAATTTTAAATGTATACGTATTATATATTTGGCATAGTAAAATAGGACATCAAATGCCAGTCACATACCGTACAGTAATGTTGCGTGGAAATGGTTGTCGGTGGGTTTTTGTGTGTTTAGAGAAATGTGATGTTCAGCTGCTTAAAAGAGGGAGGGGGTGATGGGAGCCACGCTAACTGTTCTCGTCTTGTGAAATGAACTTGGTCTATAAACTGCACGAAATAGTTAAATTCAAGAGATCACATTGCGGGCAATCTTGTTTGTCTGCAGGTGACCCTGTGCGTGTTGGCATGAACATAGACATTGCCAGTATAGATATGGTTTCTGAAGTCAATATGGTGAGTACTTCGATGTCCTCCAGCGACTATCTTCACGGGAGCCTTTGATTCGCAGAAATAGTGTGTGATAAGTTTACACTCTCGAAGTGATCGTTTCGGTACCCATGCCTTTGAAGGGCTGAGCATTCGTTGACTTCAAACCAATTTCGCTCAAACAGCATCTACTGGTTCACTGTATTAGGCATGTAGGCTTCATGAGTGATGTGAATTTTACTAGCAAAGTATTGGGCAGAGAAAGGAGAGAAGGAGATGTTGGAATGTGCTAGGTACTGGTTTGAAAAGCTGAGCAGAGAGGAATTGTCAGCAACCTTTAGTCAAGGTACTGGGATGGGGAAGTTTGTTGCTTCGTGCAATAGCGTCCCCTGCTGATTTTTACATTCAACACAATAAATCCAGACACCAAACTTGCACACGAGCATCTTAAAGATCGCTGAAATAGAGCTCCAGTAAACTGGATCTCGTTTAATATCTGTATTCGCAGAATAATATATTAACACAGATACCCTACACTAGGCTAACTCTTTTTTGTTGAAGAGTGGAGTTAACATTTGCAAGCAGTATCGTTTACGAGGACTGCACGTCTGGTCTTTTCAATCTTTGTAAATTTCACTTGATTGGACACATCAGGCGTATTGAAGTACATGAAGAAGGTTGTCGTCGTGCCTCAAATAATTTTAAAATAATTTTAAAAGCACAACATAAACGTTTGTGTTTACACATTGGGTTAATTGTACAGAGGAATGCCCCTCTCTCACATCGCTATCTCAAGGTCAGATGGGTAGATAGAACTCCGGTAGCTCCGGATGTAATCTTGCCTGAACTATTGGCACCGGTGTTTCAATGTGCCATAACTTCCAAGGGCGGCGAGCACATTTTAATCGTGCTAGTGTTTTAATAAATAACCCCCAGTGTCGTTGATTATTTCAAATGTGCAGACGATTAAATAATCTCATAGAAAATAAGATATAGATTTATGGAAACTGGACCACTTTTTTAAAAAAATCGGTCTGAAATCTGTTTTAAAATGCGCAGTCTATCTAGTGAGGGTGGTGGTGAGATTTTGCAACACCTGGTATTTGCTATAGATCATAACCTACTTTGCACCAAACTTTAATTTTAACCGTGGGGAGGTTAAGGATACCAACACTGTATTTAGACATAATTTAAAGTAATAACAGCAAAGTAAGGATTCGTTTTTGTTTATATTTATCATCTTCTTGACTTATTATTATGCTTACCCAAATAAATAATATGAAGTTTTATAGGACAGTTATATAGGCCACATCACAATGACCTCTGGCACTGCCATCTAGTGTTCCAGTATTATCACATATTGCACAAGGGTTAGCAGCAGCAGTTGAGAACAAGGGCAGCAAACAGGATGAGTTCAGCTCATTGTTTTGTAGATTTTTCAATTAAATAGGTTGTAATATTCTTTTTTTAGTAAGTATTCTAGCTTTAAGTATGTTGATTACAAATAAAGTGATCACCCTGATATTCAACTGCATGATCTTCCATTACAGCTCTGTATTTACCATTGAACATAGGCTTTTGCTTATTTCGTCATGTTTTCTTGCCACTAAGCTAACAGCTAATATCTGATTACATGTAATTTAAACAATTACACTTTTCCACATAGCCTTTGATATCCTGTTCGGAATCATTGATCAATATATTTTTAAAACTTAACACATTAGTGGGTATACTGAATTTTAACAACATTGTAAATGCAAAAATATGAATGCACACAACATCCTGTACATCTCAACAGCTATTTTATATCTTAAAAATGGCATTTTGTAATCAACTGGGATACTCACATGAATTTCTTGTGATGTATAATAACTGTTATAAACATGGAAATTTGGGTAAAAATGATTACTTATTGGGAACTTGTAAGGTGTTTGCTGCAGAAGCTAGTTTTGCTTTTTTAAAAATGGTAATGCTTGGTTTGTTGACACAGTGCAAGTACTGATTTTGTTACTAATTGAAAAAATACTCTCTTCTAGCATGTACTGAGAGAAAACATCTGCTTTTGTAAGCTGGTATAAAAACTCACTCACCAAGTGTCACTTATGTAATGTCAACTGATGTTGATCACAATGAGGGGAAAAAAAGACAGCCTATCAAATGTCTGGAGGGTGTATTCGACACCCTTCTACAAACAGCTTGCAGGGAGTTAAATCCAAGTTGTGAGATCTGTCTTTTACTGACGTTAGTTGGTTTTCTACGTGTCATGTCACTATGAGATTTTGCCTTTGGTTAGTTTGGGCAGTTTGTAATTGAGCAGTTACACCTCTTGAATCGCAACTAAATTATTATTCTGATAATCTTAATAATAGCATACTGTTAGTTTCTCCTTTCTCTAATTATACTTCTACTGAAAAGGAACTCATTTAGTATTTTGTGTATATTCGATTGAAATCATAAAAATAATTGGTCATTTCAAGTACACATTAGCTAACATATTTTCTAAATTATTGTTAGGTGTTATGTTATCATGTTATTTCTAGATTATTCAAACACATTTAATTTCCTTTTTGAAACAGAATTAATTGCAACACTCTAGTCCTCACCATAGTTTAGTTTTTGTACTATCATGTTTGCATTATTTTAAACCCAGGGTTTATCAAGCTTCTGTGTGACCTTACTGGGAATGTTGGATCCGTGAATACTGAAAAATGTTAAACTTTCAAATTTATTTTTACTGGTGACATAGCTATTCCTTTAAGAAATAAGAACATTTTCTCTGCTTTTTTTTCATATAATGCGCAACTCTCTTGCTTGTCCCAGAGATTAAAAATAAATTATAGTTTGATAAAACATGAATGCAATAAATTGAATAAGCAAAGAGAAAAATCTGCAATGGTGAAATTTCTGGAAATAATTCTGTGATTGGTGTGGAAGCAGTGAAAACCAAAATTCGCTGATAGAGGACTCTAGGAGAACAGATACTAACTGTCGTAAGAACCCATCTAGTTCACTAATGTCTTTTAGGGAAGGAAATGTACCATCCCTACCTGGTTTGGGTTAACAATGTTAACTGCTTTATTGTGTGTGCTGTTGTTTAATGTGTGTGGGGTCGGTATTGGTCAAAACTCAATCTGCTGAATTACAGAACACTGTCAAGCTGTATACGGATTACAGCATGCATATTACAATTATAATTACATTTTCCACATTGCAATATCCACGTGCCCCATATTATCTTTATAGGCATTATCTGTCCCTGTCTATTTGAAGATTGAACCAATTCAATGTACCATTTGAATACAAACAAAAACCAGTGTTTTGCTTTGGTAAATCAAAGAAATACACCAAAATTGAGGCAAGTTATGATGAAGTTATGATTCAAGTAGTTTGATTTAAGGACACAAGTGGCATGATTACTGGTGATTAAGAGCCTTGATATTGATTCTATAGATTTCTTACTCCTGAAGTAAGGGTGGTAGATATCGTATACGATCACTCAATACTATTCAGCATAACAACTTTGAATTAAGAAGCCGTAGTTACATTACAGAGCAGGTTGACTTTGTGGTTGGCATGAATTATGATAATCTAAGAATGTTTTTGGAATTGGAGTCGTATGAGCACTGGAAGAATGAGGTGGAGTTGTGGACTTGAGTATATTTTTGACCAAGATAAAGCAAGGTATTGCTTTGGCTTTATCCTTACCAGGAAAGTGCAAAATCAGAAATAAAAAATGAAATTAGAATATTTCAGACCAGGATACCAAAGAGTGATTATAGATTCTAATACGATTTATGGACAGGTTTTAGAAACAGGATGACTTGTTGAAAGCCTATGAGCAATTTTTGATAAATTTAATTAGCTGGATAATTAGTCCATGGAAGAATATATCATGGAGCTCAAGAGGTTCTATTAAAGTTAAAGAAATTCAATCTAGTGTTTCCAGAGTCTGTCCTGGTGTCTAAACTACTTGTGATTGTGAGAAATATCTGTATAGCCTTTTGATTTTGGTGGGAGTTCAATTTTGTGGTAATGGCTCTCTTTTTGAACAAATGGCAGATCCCATCAGATTTTCTCGGAGGCATTCATTTCCAGCTACTTTCACAGGGTATGTTGGACTTACATGATGATGCAGCGAATGGAAGACTCCAAACTTATGTCTCTGAGTTGAAGGGGCCTAGTCACAGGCAACTGTATATGGTCAAAATTATTGAAACAAGAGGAAAGTGCATGATTGTGGTGAAGACCGGCAACATGTAGATCCCAGAAATTCACAGGGAATAGTTAAGTAGTGTTTCCAGTGTCACCCCATGAAACTGTCAGGAATTGTCCAAAGATAAATAGTCAAGTTTTTGAAGCAACTCATGAAACTGATGGTACTGAAGTTGAATATGATACAGGTGAATAGTGAAAAAATATTGTGTTTGTGGTTGAAGACTTGCTGGCCATTGGGTAACTTGGTTGTTGATGCATTCTTTGTGCCAGACTAAATGGTGGATCTACCTTGATGGTGAGTGGTGATAGTGATATATGTACTAAATATAATAAGACACCAGCACAATTGGTTATAAGTGTTTCTTTAGCTTGGGAATTTAATGAAGCAATAGTCAGGAATCTGAAAGTATGGGACACAGGTTGGAATATCTCTCTACTACATTTTGTAGACATGATTACCAGGGTTAACAAATCCACAGTGATAAACAATAATAGATGGGTTATAGTGGACAACAGCATGAAAAAGTGAGGTTTTGATTCAACAACAAAATTCGTAATGTATAGAACAAAGAACAATACAGCACAGGAACAGGCCCTTTGGCCCCCCAAACCTGTGCTGACAGATTTTGCCCTTCTGTACTAAAACTGTCTTCACTTACAGGATTTGCATCCCTCTATTCCCTTCCTATTCATGTAGTCATCCAGGTGCTTCTTGAATGCTGCTATTGTGTCTGCTTCCACCACCACCTCTGGCAATGCGTTCAAGGCACTCACCACCCTTTGCGTGAAAAATTTGCCGTGCACATCTCTTT